CCTCCCCCCTGGTTACGAACCGTGGGAGAGTTAACATAAACATGCAAAAAAGAACAGAAGAAAAGCGAAGAAGACTATATTAAAACCTAGCAACCATCACGTTATTCGAGTAGAAATCAAGGTGGATGGACGCACAAGACAAGAAAAAGGAAAACAAGTAAAAGAGAAAAAACAGCGCAACTACATGTAGGTGCAGCGCAGAAGTGCGGGAGGCATGCGAGCCCTACGACTGCACGTCCAGTACACACATTTTCGCGGCGGGTCGACGAAAAACCCTACCAGATGCAGTCTTTACGTTGACGACAACATCGCGGGCTGAAATGACAGCGAGACATCGCCTGCCTACGTGATTCCTTGATGGCGCTCTTTGAGGAGGGCGTGAAGTGCGGTCTTGATGGAACCAACGAGCTGCTCCCAGGCTTCGGCCATGTGGGGTGCCGCCGGTGGCTTGTACTGCCGTGCGTCCGAGTGTATCCACAGTAGCACCGTTCTGGAGTCCGTCCATAATACGACCCGTGGAATTGAGATACGCTGCTGCTCCCGGACGGTACAGCATAGTCGCGAGGCCAGGACCGCGGCCTGGAGTTCGAGACGGCGTATCGAGGCCGGTTTCAGTGGAGCGACGCGTGCCTTCGCCGCGACTAGGGACGCTGCCAGCTGAGTACCGTGGTTCGCTACTCTCAAGTACGCAGCGGTGCCGTATGCTTTCTCGCTTGTGTCGGCGAACACTTGCAGCTGGATGTCGGTAGTGACTGCAATCAACGATGTGTGTAGCACCGTGCACTTCTACGGTGGCCACCTGGTCTAGCTCTGCAGCCCAATCTGTCCATCTCAGTGCAAGCGGTGAAGGGAGTTCATCATCCCAGCCTATGCCAGTTCTCCACACATCTTGGAGAAGCATACGTGCGACGATGGAGTGGCAAGACACCAGGCCGAGTGGGTCAAAGACCGACATTGTGTGTCGCAGAACGCTTCGCTCGGTGACTTGTGCCTTTGGATCAAGTTTCTTGTCGCAGAAGAAGCCAAGCGTGTCCTTCGCAGGGTCCCATCGGAGGCCCGGGGTTTTCTCGATGGGGAGGTCGTGGCTGTGGACGTTCACGATTCTTGGTGACCTCGGATCTGATGGAAGGCTCTTGAGGACCGTCGGAGAGTTGCTCACCCAGTTACGGATCACAAACCCTCCCCCCTCGTGGACGTCCATCACCTCACGGGTTAGTGCTACGGCTTCTTCTGTTGTTGGGGTGCTGTCGATATAGTTGTCGACTGGCTGGTGGGTGGCCTCTTCAGGTGACAGCTTCCGGGCATATCCCTGTTCCAAGTAGCTGTGGGTGGCCTCTTCAGGTGACAGCTTCCAGGCATATCCCTGTTCCAAGTAGCTGTCGATCTTGCTCTGGTAGTCATGTGCAAGCGTGGCGTCCTTCCGCAGGCGCCTCTCCAGCTGCTTGAGACGCTGGGGCAGCCGTGGTCTTGTTTCGTGGAACGGTGATGTCGTCCTCCCGCCAGAGAAGCCCCGTTTGCCACCTGCGCCCAGTGCGCGTGGTGAGAGTGTCGAGCCGCTGGAGTGCACGGCCATCAGCCTTGCTTTTGATTTCCACGGGTTTGACTCCGATGGAGTCGAGGTCGAATGACTGCTTGACTAGGTTATGGGGGTCGCTGTCGAGACCCCTGGGTTGCCGAGGTGTATGTCATCTCTGATATGCGTTCTAGCGGTGCTACACTTCCGCGGCCATCGCGGTGTAGTAGAGGATGATGGGGTTTGCCACACGAGCAGGCTTTCTCCTCGCATACCTTCGCCAAGGCAGCGGAAGCACAGCCGTCTGTCACTAATGAACTGCCGACGGGCGTTAAGTGGTTCCGCGGCTAGCTGGCGGCAGCTACTTGTGGTGTGCCCCGCTTTGCTGCAGAAGAGGCAATATGGCTTACCAGCGGTGGCCTCCACGGCTGTGAACGTTTGGCCTGTGCGTGGAGTGGCATGAGTGGTGTCACATGGGATCGGCTGAGCGACTAGGCATGCAGCCTTGGCCCTCTGTTCAAGCCAGGCAGAGAAGGTGTCCAGGTGCGGGTCTATGCCGGTTTTCAGCACATACTCTCCCCACTGGATCCGAAGCCCCCCAGACAGCTTGCCAACTAGCTCCTTGACCAATTGAGGGTTGTAGAGATGGCCGGTGCACTTTGTGCTGCGCATAGTGGCAACAAGGTTGCGGCACAAGACGCTGATTTCAATCAATACCTCGATGGCCTCCTCCGACTTCATACCTCTCTGTGACTTCGTCTTCAGAATGAGATTCTGGACAATCTGGTCCGGGCTGCCGAACCTCATCCTCAAGATGGAGATGACCTCCCCTACATTGTCAGGGAGAGTCATCATCCCCTGTACGGCTTCCTTGGCTTTTCCGCGCAGCGCTTTTTGCAGCCGGCCAAGGTTCTCCCCGTTCGAGAAGCCGCACTCTCTGGTCGTGTGCTCCAGCGCGAAGATGAATGCTGGCCACTCGTCAGCATGTCCAGAAAACTGAGGCAAGTCCTTGGCAGTGGATTGCCTTGCCATGAAATGGTGCGTGGTGAGATTCATGGGGTGTGACTGCCTTGCACTTGCAGGGGTAGGACGTGTGCCATTGGGCTCGTTCCCTGAAGCCCGCTCACCTTGGACTTGGTGGTCCAGTAACAGATCCTGGATTTGACCATTGGCTTCCTCCAGCGCTGCTCCGATGTTTCTCTCGGCGCGCTGTGCGCGCTCAGCTAGGCTAATGCGATCCGCGCATGTCAGCTTGGATCCGTTGCCGGTCTCCCGTGATCGACGGGACGAACTTGATCGGACGCTTGCATTACTGCTGCCGCTTGACCGGTTTCTGTTAAACTTCTTCTGGAGTTCTAGCTTCTTGCGGATCAGCTTTCGTTCTACTTCTGCAAGCTCCTCCGCGGCGATACGTTCCGCTTCCGCGTCGAGCTCGTCGATCGAGCGGAGCGAGCGCCGGCTGCTGCAAGACGTTGCTGATGAAGTGGTGAGTGAACGAGCCCTCATCAGGGGAGTTACACCTGGAGGCACTACACCACATGGCACTGGAGCAGAGACATTACACCTGGAGGCACGACAATGTACTTTAAGTCACGATCAGGAACATGCGCGAGGGGATTCGAATCCGCGCTGCTGTAAACACCGTACAAACGGAAAAATCAAACGAGCTTGACTTCATCTCCTTCTGCAAGGCAGGAGAGAAGCCAGTTCGCGTTCAGCCCTCATTTTATCTTTTCTTATTTTTTCCTTTTATTTCTGCTTTCATCTCATTACAAAGTTTCTGAACATTTTCTTCATCTGTGCAAACATCTAGACTGACGACCTGCTTGTGAAATCATGCGCCTGCTTTCAGGTGTTAAAAAAAAAACGGTTATAGAGGTCTCAGCCCTTATTTGTTTGACTTACCTGTCTTTGATAACCGCAATCAATAAAACCAGCTGAACCGACATTTGTGTACTTTATTCATGCAATGTAAAAACGGTGGAGACGATGTGCAATAAAACGATGAAAATATGAAGCAATGGTGTAGGGAAAAAATATATGGATTCAAACAAGTTTTCGTACAACACTCATCAGGAATCGTCGTTGTACTAAAGGACACTGAAACAAAAATTGAACTATTATAGAAAATCTAAGTTACAGAAATAACACTAAGAGCAACAACAGTGAAATTTACAAGTGTGAATTTTAACAATCAAAGCGAGAAATGAACAAAGGAGAAAGGAAGGAAAGACAACGTGATAACACATAACAGCAGTACATTACACCTAGAACATTAACGGCCAAGCTTGGCCGCACTAAACACGACACGTTACTTAAACAATTTCAACCCAATTATACTATCTTTCTGTACACACAAATTAGGCTTGTACAGACGCTGATAGATAGCTTCCAACACTTTTAACTGTAGTCCATAACCATGACGACCACGGCACAATACAGTGAACGAAGAGTCGGAATACGAATTGCAACAATCAGGACTAGCTAGCAGATGATTGTACACTGAAGACTTGCTACCACGAAACCTACGCACAACACTAACACTCTCACCGGCATTCTCACCATCACTCCCATCACTGCTCTCCGACTCACTGCTCCTTCCGCCGTCCGCTCCATCCTCCGCTTCCTCTGTACTCTCTCTGTCTCGTCCATCCCGCCTGACCGGGTCCATTGAAGTCAACTCGGCCGTCACCCTGCTATCACATCCCTCCTTTCGCCCTTGTCCGCTGAGTGCGTAGCTTCTGTTGTAGTTGGCTGTTGATCGTCTTGGTCTTTCAATTGTGGGCTTGGATGGTGGATTAGTTGTGGTTGCTGTATATTGCGTTGTTGGTGTTGGTGTGGGAGCTACTGATATGCAAGGTGGGTCTTTTTGAGTCGGCATTTGTAGTGTTAATGCAGCTGTCAGTGTTGCTCGCGGTCTCCCACCGCGGCCAAGCTTGGCCAAGCTTGGCCGTTAATGTTCTAGGTGTAATGTACTGCTGTTATGTGTTATCACGTTGTCTTTCCTTCCTTTCTCCTTTGTTCATTTCTCGCTTTGATTGTTAAAATTCACACTTGTAAATTTCACTGTTGTTGCTCTTAGTGTTATTTCTGTAACTTAGATTTTCTATAATAGTTCAATTTTTGTTTCAGTGTCCTTTAGTACAACGACGATTCCTGATGAGTGTTGTACGAAAACTTGTTTGAATCCATATATTTTTTCCCTACACCATTGCTTCATATTTTCATCGTTTTATTGCACATCGTCTCCACCGTTTTTACATTGCATGAATAAAGTACACAAATGTCGGTTCAGCTGGTTTTATTGATTGCGGTTATCAAATTATTGTCTCCTCGCCGTGTGTTTACCTGTCTTTTTTATTAAAAATGTAACTCTCTCTTTTCTCTCTCTCTCTCTCTCTCTCTCTCTCTCTCTCTCTCTCTCTCTCTCTCTCTCTCTCTCTCTCTCTCTCTCTCTCTCTCTCCCCATCCACTTTGTCTTTACAAG